TTTTAAAGTTGACTAAACCAGGCCAAAAACACCAGATATTATTACTTCATGTTTGTTCTTTGCTTGGAGAGGTGCGCAACAAGATTAAACCTTGCAATGAGCGCTTTCTGCTGTTTTATTTTCAGCTCACTGGTGAAATTAGCCAGTAATAGGAACACTGAAATAGCAACAGACAGCAAAGCAAATGATTTCTATGTGCTACAGTGTAAGATCCTGTTTTTCTGTCACACATAGAGTTCAAAGGGAGGACTGATCTGTCTGATGGGAAAATAAAATTTCCAGTGGGATTATCTGATTTTATGTCATCTCCTGGCTTTGACTAACTCCTCAATAGCTCTGCTTGTCATAAACTTTAAACAGAGACAGATATGTCTGTGAACAAAAACCTAGAGACACGCATCAAGGGCTGCAGTAACAACTTCAAACAAATGCTTTGGCATGTTGGTGATCCCATGTGGCATGTTACACATTACTGTAGGCAGATCACTAAACCAGAGGTCAAAGATTTAAGCCTCATGTTTTCAAGGTGTTAAAGGTACAATATACAATGTACACTGAAGGTGTGTGAATATTTTTGCCCATTTATTTTCAAATTGCTTGCTGAAATTTGCTTCCTGTATTTAGCCCCGACATCTTTCGGACTACCACCACCTTACAACCCATTTATTGAAGACCAGTTTCATCAAAGCATGTGAGCGTCTCTCTAAGATCTCTCCTGTTACGCAATGTCATTCTAACAGCGATTAGCAAACCCAGAATGTCACAGTGAATAGCATTTAATCTCACGTGGATATATGATGATGAAAGACATGTAATATCTTAGAGGTGGTTACTTGGATGGGGCCACATATCCCAGGTTTGAACAGATTAAAATCTTGGTTGGGCCTATCCACAGCAGTGCAACAACAGGCTTCCAGCTGTGCAAGAATAATAATCCCTCTGTTTTAATCTCTCTGAGCAGGAGGTGATCCGAGCTCTTGTTCAGAAGCCATCCAAGGGCGCAGGGATGCGCTAAGATACAGGTTTGACAGGTTTACCAGTTTAACGATAAGCAATTATGCACCTCTCATATTTTCTGTGTGGAGCTGGATATTGAAGCGTGTGTGTGTATGTTGCTCAGGGAGGGTGTCCAACATGACATCTGGTAATGGTTGCAGTATAAACCATAAATCATCTTTTTGGTGGGATTTATGCTTTGCTGTGATGATTATTTGGGCCTCTTATGCTCATATGATGTTTATGTGCATAACCAGGCATGGCTCCAATTCCACTCACAACAGCATGGGTTTAAAGAGGGAAGGCCTAAATAGTGGGGATTATTCTCTCTCCCGCTTCTCCCTCTCCCTCTTTCTCTTACCCTATTTTTCAGCATCAGTGCTCTGCCTTTCATTTCAGTTCCTGTTGCTGTGATGACCACAGACATGAGCACAGCAGGTGTTCATCGAGGCTTCCTCAAAAAATACGGTAGGGCTGCTTCTATCCTTTTATCCACAGTAACACCTCTGCAGTCGTCATGTAAAGTTTTATGTGAATGCTTTGGTCTGATTTTGTTTACTGCATCCTTTTGTGCTCATTCTGCAAATTAGGCCAACGTTAGTAACTATATAGGCTTTTTGAAGATCTCAGTTGCTTTGCTGTAAAATATGACCCAACTATGTCTTTAATTTAGATTTTCTGATTGTCTTATGCTTATTTTCTCCAAGGTGTAATAAATTCTTAGTGTTTATTCTTTTAAAGCCAGTATAGATTATATGGCTGCTGACTTCACAATCGGTGGAAAACAACACTGTCTCAGAACACCAATCCAACTCTTACATGAGCAATGTCAGCCTAAGAGGCAGCCAGTATGATTTTCAAGCCAAGTCATGAACCGGCTCTTGGCCGGCGTCTCTCTTTACTTATATTACATCTGTTTTTTATTGCCCTTGTTTTCATTTCAGAGTGGCGTCACAGTTGATAACAGTTAAGTAGCTATTTTGGTACTTCAAATGTTTTTCTTCCTCTCTTGACTTATGCAGACTAATAGCGCAAATAAAAATTTAGGGATATTAATCTAAAGGTTGCAATCTGCAGTCAAATTAATGTAGTTGTTGTCATATTAGTATTCCCAGGTATAGTAGACGCCATAATAACAAACAATCAATCAAAAATTCCTATACCCCCCTCTCTTGCTCGCTTGCAAATCCACCTGCTTTAATCCGCTGTATGGAGAAATAAAGCAGATCTTGTGTGTCAACATGTGCTCACCTTCTACTATCTGCACCGTCGTGTGTCCTGTCCTGAAAACTCATTGTTCCAAAAATGACAATATTTCAGTTTCTTTTTAATACAAAAACGCATTACATTTGACTCAAGCTGTTTTTATTGATTTTTGATATTATGGATCTGCCTTGTTTCAAGGACAAGGTGTCATTATTTTTGTATTATTATTGGTATTGTTGTTGTTGTTTTCATAAGTTGATGCTGTGACTTTCTCTGACTGTTGTAATTTTTGATCAGTGTGATTTTGAGGCTGCTGTTTGTGCTCTTAAAACCCCCCAAACAATTTATTGGACATTATTATAGTTGTGTTTATATCACTGCAATAAGTATCCAATTATATCACTGAAACTGTCAAAAATAGAACATTTCTCTCAAAGAACCTGCTCATTAAACAATTGTGTTATTTGTTTGTGAAACTTTCAGTTAAGTTAGTGAAAGTACAAGCATATAACCAAACAAACAACACGTTATAGTTCTGGACATACAATGCCAGCAGTAGCATTACTACTAATACGGAAGTATCTTGATTCATGTTCAATCATCCAGGTAAGGAATTCTCAAAAAGTTGATTCTGTTCATCTGGATGTAACATTTTCAGTGCAACAAATGTTTCGTCACTCATCCAAGTGACTTCTTCAGTGTCAGCTGAATGCCAGTTTCCCTAACCTTATAAACAGTAATGACCGAAACTAACAACACTGACAAACAAAGGGAATGAGATCAGATCAACTGTCATTGATCTGTGCTATGGTGTACATTTTAGGACATCTTCAGGTTTCAGGAAACCATCGTCAGACATCAGATCAAACGGTCTCAGATGTCACACCATAAAAAAAAACATCACATTCCATTGAAAATCACATGATAATAATAATGGATTGCATTTATATAGCACTTTTCACG